CTAGTATGTTAAAAACTAGATTATGTCCAATTGATGTTAATTCTTTTTATGTTAGATGTGTTGCACATGTATTAAATTTAGTTGTACAAGATGGTATTTCATTCATTGAATGTGGTTGTATGAAAATTGAATATGTTGTTGCCTGGATTTTTTATGCTAATAGAGCTGCTAGAATTAGGGAATTTAATGAGCGTTGTGTACTATGTGATTTGCCACCAAAAAAAAATTCCAAGACATATTAAAACAAAGTGGAATTCTTTTTACGAAATGTTTTCAGTTGCTTACAAATATAGAGAACCCATACAAATGGTGTTTAATGCTCATAATGCTGACCCATTAGACAGAATTTGTGAAGAAGATTGGGAATAAACTAATGAACTATTAGAATTTTTAAGACTTTTTTATGATGCTGCAACCATGTTTTCTGGAATTTATTATCCTACTATTTCATCAGTATTAATAAATATTTGTGCTATTTCAATTCAATTTTCTAAATACAAAAAAATTAAAAAATTTAGAGTTGTAATTGAAGGTATGATTGAAAAATTTTAAAAATATTTTTTTCCTATTCCTCAAATTTTTTGAACTGCTACTTTACTTCATCCTGACTATAAATTACAAGGTGTGCAGGGACTTGTTGACACTTTTTTATGATACCTTAGAAATTTTACCGGAAATAAATCCAACTTGTGAAATGTGTAAGTCTAGCATAAAAGTAGAAGCAAAAATTTTGTATGAAAAATATAGAACTACAGGAAATACTCAAGAAGTTGGTCAAACTTCTAATCCTCACAGTAAAGCTCGAATTTCAAGTTATATGCAAGATTTTCTTGGTCTTAATTCTACTAACCATGATGATTTTGAAGAATATCTTAATCAATCTTTAGAAACAGTGGAAGACGGAGATGGCAATGAGGAATTATTAGCATGCATGGTGGAGGAGGCGGAGCGTTGCATTTCCAATTTTGAGCAAAATGGTTCATGATGTTCTAGCTATTCAAGCTTCATCAGTTGCATCAGAGGTTGCTTTTAATGCGGCAAGGTTTCAACTTGGGGATCATAGACAATCATTGGCGGAAGACAATTTGGAAATATCAGTTTTATTTAGAGACTGGGTCAACGCCGAGAAGCGGAATTATAATTTGCCAAAGTTAAGTTTCAAACAAGAAGCTTGGATTAATGCGGTAATTGGATTTAGTGATGATGAATTAGAGTCACAAGAGTTTCTAGCTAGTTTGCCAACACCGGAGGATGTTACCGTCGATATGATGCGACAATTAGAATTGAATTTTAAAGGAGAATACAAATATTAGATTACATCCGAGAACTAATTGAAACAGAACCCTTCCTAGAAGGTGGCTGCGTAAATTAGTTACTCATCTAATATTTGTAACAAATATTAGTTTTACATATGAGAACTTATTGAAACAGAACCCTTCCTAGAAGGTGGCTGCGTAGATTAGTTACTTCACTAATATTTGTAAATTGTAACTTCTAAGTTCTAAGTTGCAATTAGATTTTATTGAATAAATTTGAAGGTTTTATTAAGTCTTTTTTATATAACTATTGTCTTGCATTTTAATTTTAATATATTCATACATATTTACATATATACTAAACTAACTTTAAAATACTTAATTTAAAATCAAAATTTCAAGTTTAAATTACTTTAAATTATTTAAAATACAAATTTGAACTTCTCAAATTTGAAAATTGAAAATTGAAGTTTGAAATTTGAAAGTTGAATTTGAAATTTGAAGTTTGAAATTGAAAGTTGAATTTGAAATTTGAAGTTTGAAATTGAAAGTTGAATTTGAAATTTGAAGTTGAAATTTGAATTTTGAATTTTGAAATTTGAAAACTTAAGTATTATTTATTAGCTAAAAATGTTATTGAAAAAAAATCAAATAAACTAAAAATGTTATTCAATAACATATAATTTCAATACAAATAAATAAGTATATAAAAAATCCCCCGTCCCGTCCGGTCCCCCCAAAACCCGTCCCATCCCGTATATATAGTGGGACGGGATGGAACTTATTTTTGTCCCCCCAATCCCGGTCCCGGCCAAATCCCGCCAGCCCCGTCCCCCTTCGTCCCGTCCCCCAGTCTCCGCCCCCGTCCCCTTGCCAGCCCTAGTTGGAGCACAAAAATTAATTCAATCTATAAATTGAGAAAATTATTAGAGCACTGATTTTCAACTTAGATAAATAGACCCAAAATCTTATGATTTTCAGCTTACTTTATGGACCAAAAGGCAGTCTCATGCATGTTCTTATATATGCTACTCTCTCTGTCCCAATTTATATAACTCACTTTCCTTTTTAGTCAGTCCAAAAAGAATGACACATTTCTAGAACACCTCTCTGAACAATGTCTAGATTAGGAAACCTTTTGATTCCTTGTTTTGTTTTTTGAAGGACCATTTGGGCCTAAACTGTAAGGAATTAGTTTCCTCTGTTATTTAGTTAATAAAATAGGTCCAGCTGTGGACCGAAAAAAAAATGAAAAAAAAAAAGAAAAAAGAATGACACTTTTATTATATAGTAACAATCTAATTATAAAATATCTATTTTACCCTTAATGAAATGTTTTACAGCCACACAAATTTCTATCATTCATTTTGGACCACAAGTTTTAAAAGTCTTCTTTTCTTTCTTAAACTCCGTGCCGAGTCAAAATACCTCATATAAAATGGGACAGAGAGAGTATTTATTTTAATTTATTTATCTAATTTTAATTTGATTCTAAAAAAGTCTTGTGATGCTTAATTAAAGTAGATACTAGAATATATTACAATATCCATTAATACTAAAAAGTGGAATTCCCAACATGAAAGTATGTCCTACTGACCATTCCATGCAAAAATCTAAAAGGGTCATTTCACATATACTTGTCTTGTGGGATAAAGAATAAAATATGGATATTTTCTCTTCCGGTATTTGGTTGAATATTTCGAAACTAATAATTTATAGATTATATTATATTTATGATATCTTTTTATACCCCTTTCAACATGGTATAACAACTTCCATTTTAATTATGGGGAACCAAAACACTACCAAATTGGGTTGTTTTAATTAATTAAGTAAAAGAAATGAGTCCACAAGAAAGAATTGACAAAAGGAGAGAGTGTGTGTAAGGAGTCATTTGATAAGGACATAAGGTGTATAAAACTAGTGATGAATATGATGAATTAATAATAATATTGATGAAATTATTTCTTTAGAAGAGAAATTTAGAGTTTTGCATGCATGGAGCTATGTTTTGACGTGGAAATCATTTTATTGCATGGAAATTATGTGGGGTTTGGATTGAATTATTTTTATGTGGTTTTTAACTTTTATGCTATAAGCCACTTTAAAAAAAAAAACCAATTTGATAGTATTTGGTTTCGCCAATATTAATATGGAAGTTGTTATCCATAAAAATAATATCATAATTATAATATATAATTTATAAATTATTAGTCTCCAAATATTCTTAAGTATTATATTATATTATTAGGCTGTAATGTTTGAGTTCAATTTTTAGGACTATATCTTTAAAATTCCTTTAGTTATGCACTCAAAATTATTTAATCATGTCAGTATGCTAGCAAAACAAAAGACTGCAAAATAATGTTTTTTGTGCAAAATGAAAAGTTACCTATCAAGTATAATAGCTGTAAAACACAAATATAATATAATACCAAAAATGCCCTCATAGTGAAGAAACCATGTTGATCGGAAGTTATATGTTTATTCACATACAAATATAACATTTCACTTTGTGAGATCTTGTGATAAATAGATAAAAATCGCTTATTTTTTTAATCTCTATTGAAAGATGAATAGATATCTTGTAATTTTCAGCTTACTTCATGGATCAAAAGGTGGTCCCATCTTCCATGCATCTTCTTAAATGGTCTATTGATTTTAGTTTTTTTTTGTCTAATTTTAATTTAACAAAAAAAAGTAAAAAGTAATAATTTACGTCTTGTGATACTTAATTAAAGTAGATATTAGAATGGTAGAATATATTAAAATAAACATTATTACTAAAAAGTGGAATTACCAACATGGAAGTATGTCCTACTGATTCCATGCAAAAATCTAAAAGGGTCATTTCACATTTGTCTTGTGGGATAAAGAATATTACAAGAATAAGATATGGACATTTTTTCCACGGCTTTTGGTTGAATATTTCGAAACTAATAATTTAAATTATATTATAATTATTTCTTGAGAAGAGAAAATTTGGCGTTTTGCATGCATGGAGCTCTTTCTTGAACGTGGAAATCACTTTATTGCATGGATATTAGTTGGTGTTTGGATTGGATTGTTTTTATGTGGTTTTTAACTTTTTTGTTTTATAGAGTGGGACATTGGGTAGTATTCAATTTTCTTTTTCTAATACTTTTTAGTTTTTTTTTTCTACTTTATTTTCTCAAAATAACATGAACAATGAAAAAATAGCCAACACCATATGGGAATGGTGGTAGAGTTTCCAAAGGTTATTATTTGTAAAATGTAGTTGTGAGATTGAGGGAAGATAATAACGAATAAATAAAATGTTATATTTATAAGATTGGGAAAAGATAAGGATGAATAAAATGTTCGGACTCTCGAAATGTACGAGAATGCTTCTAATGACATTTTTTAAAAGTTCGAGCAACATAGAATATATTAGTAATTTCATTTGCTCTAGACTTATTTTTTGAATTTTGAAAAATTTACTTCATCTTATGTCAATACCTACCCTGACTCTGCTTCAACTTTGTAACTTTCCTTTTCATCTTCCATCAATAATTTTCCATACAATCATCTTTGTTACTACTATTGTTGTTGATAGATACCTTTTAGCTATGAATGTAATAACGAAAATTTATTGTTATAGATGAGTATATATGTTTCAAAAAATTTGCTTAAAATTAATCACATTAATCTTTTTGAATCAACAAAAATAACATAATTTTTTTAATACAATGCATTTAAATTGGATAAATGTACTACACGATCAGTCTGTGCATATAATCAATTGACACACAAAACTCAGAATGTATACAAAATAACTCAAACGTACATGTCGATCACAGATTTCCTGATCTCATTAACACTGGGTTGAGCCCCCCTCAACTCGAAAATGTTCTCGATAACAGCCACTTCTGTTGCTGTAGTGTCTGATCCACAAAATGCTGCCCAGTCGTTGACAATCATTCCAGCAGCTATCACTTCACTACCGCGGTTCACAGTTCCTGCCATCAAAGGAATATCAAGGAGATGTGCAAGCTCATACATCTCTTCAATAGATGCATGAGGATGTACCTGAGTCCAACAAAAACAGGGTCAAACTTAACTTACCATATATATTTAATTCACAACTCGACATCACAACCCATATTAATTAACAGTAACATTGCTTATTCATAACAAGTTAATTAACAAATGTATACGTTGGACACTATGCGAGCAAGTTTTGCCTTCAATCACATTCACCATTTACCCTGTATTTTTATTAAGAATGAATACTTACCAAGCCTCCCAAGTTTGAGAAAGTACAATAGCCTCCAACAAGAATATTATCTGCTATTGTATGCCGGAAAACTTCCACACCAAGAACATCAGCAATCATCTCTTCAGTTTCCTGATAAAACTAACATCTGTCAATCTTAGGTGAAGGTGTTAATCATTTTTAGATGAGTAGACTCACAAGTCAAGATCCATGACAGCAATAATGGGAGTCTAATTTCAACATAAAACAATAGGCATAGAAAAAAATAATGTAAAAGTACGTATCAAAGGAGAAGCAAAAAAAAAAAAAACAAATTACCATCTTCTGGAACAAAGTTCAGCATAATCTATAGCAACTTTAAAGAAAAGCATAACACAAGCAGGCACAGAAACCCTGCTGACATTGTAGAGTTCTACAACTTGTAAAGATACTCTACTTTAAGCAACCGTGTTAACCCCGAGGGCCATGGTCGGGAACTTGATGGATAAGGGGCCTGCCCCTCTACCCTTCAAGATTTGAATAACAAGTTTTTTGTCCATGACACACACCTGACATTCATGTGCTGCAATCTTACTTTAAACCAAATCCAACAGCGAGGTAAACATCCCTTATCCTATTGGACGTTTCTGGACGTTGAAACAAAATACTAATCCTATCATACATGACAAGGATTTACTTTTAAACTCAGAGAGTTGTTGGATTCTCTAATATAAAATAAAAACTGCAGATGAATTATGTGCACCCAATAATATACTACGATTGCCGTGATTAAAGTCGAGAGATCTACAGAAAATGCATTCCAATTTGTAACATAAAATAGCCAACAGATATATTACCTTGTCAAGATCTACATGTACAAGAGAAACATCATCATTGCATGCTATGCAGTTTCCAAGGGCAGATAACCGCTCTTCAATACGGTGAACCACTACTCTGTCCGGGAGACTGTTCCTCAAGTGCCAAAGTTCTTCCAGCACAAACAGAAAAAGAAAAAGGTAAAAAAAGAATAGAGCAAATACAAGTCTGGTCAATCTGTTTTGAGGAGACGAATTTATTACAATGACAAACCCAAACCAAACAAATACGCCGAGAGAGGTAATATGTGCATTACTTGTCCTGTTACAGACTGCTAGCCTTAAAGATACAGTTAATCACATTATCGTAAATATGGAAGACATACCTTGATCTGTAGTAGTGTGAGGCAAAAGAAGCCCATTTTTGTTTCCTGCACAAAAATCAGACAAGTGAAGACTCAGTTATTAACATAATAAGGATCAGTGGGCAACAGGACGTTAAAGTTTCAGTAGCTTAGAGTGTTTGTCAAGTACCAGCACAGAGTCTTCCAATTATCCTCGTTCCTCCAATGGAAGTTTTGATCACTGGAAAATTTTCAGGTAACGCATCCTCAAACACGCTGGAAAAAAATACAGATCATATAATTTTCACTGAGCTAAGAACCTGGAAACTATATTAAAATATTGTGGCACAACATTTTCAAAAAAACCTGTAGAAGTTTTCAGAACCCCCAATAGCAACTAAAGAGTATGCATTGGTCAGCTTTGAAAAAACTCCAACTTCACATGAATTCTCAAATTGAAGCCCTGCAATAACATAAAAAGGTCATTAGAGAAATCACCTATGTATCCAATTTGACAAAGAAGTAATTACTCACTAATAGCCATTGCAAGTGCTAGCTAGGTGCTTGGAAGATCTGTAAAAGCCAAAATGATTCACACATGTTAACAAACGATAATTAACTAGAGACAATTCTACAATAAAAAATCATATACTATCTTGTTTTAATAATCAAACAATTCCCACAGTACAAAACGTTTGTCTCAAACCCACATCAGAAGCTACAAGTTGCGTTCTTGCCACCATAATGAAGCCCTATGCATAAAATTATCATCTTTAAAATTACTCATTCCTTTGTTTTCTTATCTTTTTGCTTCTATTCGAAAAATAACCACGAGCCAGACAACAAAATTACAAGACAAACTATCACTAAATATTAAAAAAATACTATATACCAGATAATAACAAAGAATGAAAACATAAAAACAAGATTAAGAAATCATATTTTTTTACACAGAAATTAGGGTTTCACGCGGACAGAGAAACTTTACGGCGTTTCGAAAGTTTCGCTCTTCTTTTTTTCGGCAGAGATCGGTAAATTTGTGAAACTTTAGGTGATATATGTAAGATGATATAATTTGAGTTTGGACTTGGATTTGGTTTTAATGGACTTTCAGATTTGGGCTTTACGTTCGAAACACTCTTATTTTTTACTAGTGAAATTTTATAAGAAAACTGCGTAATAAAATATATTTCATTATCATATATTTCGTTTAAGAATTCATATGGTAAGAACCATGGGTGGACCTTCGGGGAAGAAGTCTATGGTACTACTCCACAACCTTGAGCTAAGCTAAAGGACCAAAAAAGAAAACAAATTACAGAGCCTTTCTAGCAAGCTCCAGTATCACGTTTCGCAAAGTAAAGATAATATATTATGAATCATATTATGTTACTGTTAAGTTTTATTATATTTCTTTATTTCTATCTCAATACTTAAAAATAGCTTGTGCTTTGTACGGGCATCTTTTATCTAGTATATATGAGAGAGTATAATTTGAATTGGACTTGGATTTGGTTTTATTGGACTTTGAAATTTGGATCTTACGTCTGAAACACTCTTATTTACCACTAGTGAAATTTTATAGGAAAACTACGTAATAAGATATATTTCACTATCATATACACTTTTAAAATATTAAGTATCTTATCATATATATATAAATTTGAGTTGAACTTGGATTTGATTTTAATGGACTTTGAGATTTGGGCCTTACGTCTGAAACACTCTTATTTACCAGTAGTGAACTTTTATAGGAAAACTAGGCAATAAGATATACTTCACTACCATATACACTTTTAAAATATTAAATACATTATCATTAATTAAGAGTTTCTTACCATATATTGAAGAAAATACAATTAGATACACAAAAATAAAGAGAGACAACAAATATTGAGGAGCTAGATGTCACGCCCGAAACTCAAGGAGTGCAATTGGCACCTAATGTCACAACTTAGGTCTGATCTGACCCAGCTAAACCACTTGTTAATGACGAATGGCAGCCACACACAATTAAGAAAATAAACAAGTATATCTTGACTTAAAAAAGAAGTCCTTGATCGGCAAGGCCCCTGTCAACAACTCTCCAAACAGTTCATATAAAACAAGAATCAGCTAGCACAAAAGCTTGTTTGGGCCATCGAGGCTATTATGGTGTCTAGAAAAGCATAAATGTTATGTGGGCCATGAAAGTCATCATGATCTCTATAAAGAAGTTGAAAATAGTTATGTAACTAACCAATATATATGTCAAGCAGGTATCAAACATCAGCCAACCTGAAAGCAAGGACAACATGACCAATAACATTGCTATGCAACCCAACACACTAGTCTGCAAGTCTCTACGAATACAACGCTTGTTCTTCAGTATTATATGCAATGGCACGTAGTATATTCATCATAGTTGAGCAATCAGGGTATATTCTGCTTGCTTTCAGCAGGATACCATTCATGGATTTCATCTTTTTTGTGGCCCTGGAGGCTGGAAAACATAGTTGCTACGTAATTATTATAATAATAATTCTACTATTTTTAACTATTTTAAATTCAAAGTCCTGTTGTATATCCATTTGATTATTCATCAACTACTTTTAGTTTCAACGTTTTAATATGTAAAAAAAAAGTCTAGCAACAAAGCAAAGTTAATCAATTTAGAAAAGAAACACAACATCATAATCAAACTAATTAAAGTTCACATTTTAATATTAAAAAAAGGTATTTCACCGATATGGGTTGTGGTACACTGGTAGGAGTGTTTCATCCCTAACCAGAGGTCTCGGGTTTGAGCTCTGGGTGTGGAGAAAATTCTATTATGAGCCGCCACCCCCGAATGAGTCCTGTAGTGCGCGATCCGAATTTAGTCGAAACTTTAATGTGGACTCCGAACACCGAATAGAAACAAGAGAAAAAAAGAAAAGGTATTTCTACTAAAAGAAAAAAACAAGTGCAAGGATTTTAAGGAGATATTCACCAGGAGAGGCCCAAGCTAAGGACTAAGGTGAATAGATGAATTAAAGCCCATTGAAGGAAATTTGGTTTGGGCCAATGTACAAATTTCCCCATAAAATTCGAAGTTTTTACACAAGTTTTATTTTTATTTTGGGATGATCTTTAATTTTTGCTCTAAAATATACTAATATATATTTATTTTTTTTCTTTTTGTTGTTCATTTAGTGAAAATTTGTGGGCCAAAATAGTCTTGTTTATGACTTAGTTTTGTTTGGCACAAGTTTAAAAAACTTTTGCCTCATTCGATAAAAGTTTGGTAAAAAATTAAGTTATCTTACACAAGTTCTGTACAAATTAAATTATTTGACATAAGTCGTATAATATCAAAATTCACTCGACATAAGTTTAGAATTTTTTTCTCACTTGACATAAGTTTCATATGAATGAGTTGTGACTCTTATGACATAAACTTGTGGGTTTTGAAATTGAACTTTTGTTTCACATTACGCAAGTCTTGTAGGAACTATCTAATTTTTTTTACAATATAAATTGTGAGTTTTGAACTGAATTTGTTCTCGATAAGCATAAGTTCTATAGGAATAAAGCATAATTTGTTATGCATTTTAAGACATAACTTGTGCTATATTATGATATAAAAATATAAACTATATCGAACAAATATTATTTGTTATTTTAATGTTAGAGATATTTTTTACCACTTATTATTTTACTTAAAATGTTGAAGAACAAAAAATTTAAAATCATCAAATCGGTAAAGACTAGGTTGTTCTAAATCAAACCTTTTTTTTTTGGTAATTGGTTATTGGTTCAACGATTTTGGTAACAATTTAAACTTTTTTTTTTATATCGGATTATCAATTCTAAAAGGTTTGAAGTTTTTTATTAATGGGTTAATAGATAACCTGATAGTAAATTAATAAATTATATTTATATCATTAGATATATAAAGTCAAGGTTTGGTTTCATACTTTCATTTCTAACTGTGTCAAACTCTCGACTATTCTGTTCTCTTTAGAGCAAGATTCAATTTGTCAACACATATGCATGATTCATTTTGTTTGTAGTCTTGTTTATAAGTGTTTTTTAATGTATGAAAATCTTAACGGTTAAATCAATAATCGAACCGATAGCGACCGATACGTAGCCCAACCAAAATAGCGGGATTGACCCATGAAATCCCTAGCTGGGCTCAGCCCATAAAATAATGGGCATCTATATTTGTGTAAGCCCAACATCTCAACCCAAAGCAAGTTGGCCGAAGTCTTCTCCGGCAACCAACTTTGTTCTGAGAAAATACTTCATTGCTAGCTGTAGCTCGACGGACGGCGGTAAGCAGAACCGCCGGCGGTGACTCCATTTACTGTAGAAATCACAAAGTTCGTCTTCTGTCATCTCCATTTCTGTATTTTCTTTTCTATTTATTTTGGGAATTTCTGCTTGTGATCATAACTTGTTTGATGAAATGCCTATGATGTGAGTATTAGAGGAGTTTCATCTTTTACCTTGTTGTTTTGTGGTACCGTATCTGTTAGATTGAAGTGAAAAACTTGAAAATTGGAAGAACGATGATTGTTTGGATTTAGATGTGTAATTAAGGATTGTATGCTGAATGATTGTTATTGAATATTCTGCCTAAGATTCATAAGTATTGCTTGCTTTTAGTTAAGGCCTATGTACACTCTACCCTCTCCAGAGGCCACTTTGTTGTTGTTAATCCCTATGTTTCAATTTATGTGAGGGGTGTGTGTGGGCACAAAGTTTATTTAAGAAATTGGAAACTTTTGGGAACGACTAAAAAGGAAAAAATGTGACATAAATTGGGATATAGGATCACAATTTGTATCCTTTGAGTGCATTCCACTCAATGTTGTAGATTTTACTGAGAGTTTTGAATCATTTGGAATGTTAAGGGAAAAGTAAGACCTTTTATTTCACTTTCGTCGGTCTAATTACCATGTGAATGCTTTGTTCATCGAGATAAATTACTTTTCCTGTTATGGAAGAAAGTTGTTTCATTCAGTTACCATATTTTTGTCTTATGCAGAAGGTAAGTACCCGTTTCTTACTATTCATGAATTAATGTCGCTATACACACGTTTTGCCTCCAAAAAAAGAAAAGGGAACTGAAGTTAAAGTAATCCAAGGTATTGTATGCAAAAAGAACTTTTATATGCCATAAATGCAGATTACAGTTTTATCTTCCCAAATGTCACTCAGTTGGCTAGCATGTTAACTTGATTTTTCTGGTAATATGTTTTGATTACTAAGGGAAGTATTAAAGGAGCATTTGGACCAAGTACGGAACACAAAACAATCTCTACTATTTAATTCATTCATGTCTTCTTTGAAGTACAGTCTGTCAATCTAAGATTTTCTTTCACTTTATGTAACAAAAATTATATGTTGGCCTCAATCGAAGAGGAAGTGACTAAGTCTAATTCTGCTAAGAGGGTGCCTCTATATTGTCAAAAAGTTCTGAGATTTTCTGATGTGAGCCTTTGACTTTAGATGCCAAGAATTTGTATCTTTTAGTCTCAGTAGAAGAGGAGTATGATTGCTCAGTTTCTCCTTTTCTTGGTTTTTTTCTTTTCTTTTAAATCTTTCAAATATAATGCTTCGAAGAATGATTCTTGTGGAATTAAATTTTCTTGTAAAAGTTGTTGTTCATTCAACTTAATAGCTTTTCTGCCGATGCCATATTACAGTGTAACTGCTGTCAAGTTTCAAGTTGGTTAACGTTGTCTTACAATGCACGGTATCTGCACTTTGCAGGACACCTTTATCGATTGTAATCTGATGAGAAAAATATGATTAGAGGCCTCCTTTTCTTTACCTTGTTTTCGGTGATACACATGAGCTACGTTTAAGAAAATATAGCAATTTTTTATGGTCCCTCTGGTTTAAGTGGAGAACTAGAAATTAGAATGATGTGGATTGCCCTTGCCAATGATATAAACTTTTTATATGATTTTGGTTGTTCGAGGGATAGGGGAGCTATGAGGAGGGTGTGGAGCAAAGCTTTTTCGGTTTCTCTGACACTGAATGTGCTTCTATGAAAAGAAATTCCATATGAGGGAAATTCAGTGACTTAGTAGTATTACAGAGTGTTGCATATAGCAAACAAGTGAGAAATATCATGGATGTCTTTCCTCTTTCATCTTCTTCTTTTTTCCTTTTCTGATTTGGTTCTTCATAGTTTGTATAAAACATATGAGTATATTTGATTGTGCTGCTTTCATGCCTGATTCGAAGTTCCAAATGATGTTATTTGCATGTTTAACCAATTGCTCATAATGCTTTTGTATCATCAAGTAAACTTTGATTTGGCACAATTTGTTTCTATTGTGAACTGACTGGATACATTCAGTCACTGAAACTTGTGAATTTTTCCTACTTTTGCTTTTAATTTTCAGATTGCATAATTTCTCTTGTAATTTCTTCTCAGATCCAAGCAAGATTAGAAAGAGCATCAGCTGCCTTTTGTTTTCCGTTGCTCAATCAAGGAAGTGTTATATCTACTACTAGTCTTGGTCCTTCATTCACTTGAAATGTCTTTGCGTAGACCTCCGCTTCCTCGACTTCTGCTGAACAATGTCTCGTGTATGAGAAATGCTCAACAAATTTTGCGCCACGTAAATGTTTCCCTCCATGATGGTGGTGCACTTGTACTAACAGGCACCAATGGCTCTGGTAAATCCACATTCTTGCGCATGTTGGCTGGTTTCTCAAAACCATCAGCTGGTGAGATACTCTGGAATGGCCATGACATTACTGATTCAGGTGTTTTTCAACAGTACAAACTTCAACTCAATTGGCTGTCTCTTAAGGACGCCATCAAAGAGAAGTTCACGGTCCTTGACAATGTTCAATGGTTTGAAGTTCTTGAAGGCAAGCAAGGAAAGTCTCTGCCAGCTTTGGAGCTTATGGGGCTTGGAAGATTAGTAAACGATAAAGCACGGATGCTTTCTATGGGTCAAAGGAAAAGGGTACAGCTCGCCAGATTGTTAGCAATTGATCGACCTATTTGGTTGCTCGATGAACCTTCAGTAGCATTGGATGACGATGGTGTGAAATTGCTCGAGTATATCATTGCAGAGCACAGGAAGAAAGGTGGCATCGTCATTGTCGCCACCCATCTGCCTATTCAGATTGAGGATGCAATGTTTTTAAGGTTGCCACCAAGGTTCCCAAGAAGGATGACTTTAGTAGACATGCTCGACAGAGGCGGCCTCGACTGATCTTTAAGAAGATAAAAAGTCCAATCTAAAGAAAACTCTCCAATGAATTCAAAAGGGTGCACATGATGTTAAAGAAAGTGTGTATGTGGCAAGTTTTCTTGTAGTGGAATCAAAGTTTCCACTTTTCTTTCATTCTTGATGATTGCAAGAATTTCTCTATCTTTACTTTGTTAGTTCCTCCTCATTTTGCACTTCAGTTTGCCGCTAAAATGTGCTGACAACACATGCCCTCAGGCTTTGGTCTAATGGTAAGAGCCGCAACATTGGATGTGTGGATTAGACGTACATCACAAGTTTGAATTTGTTGCAGACAAAAGCTTGGAATTTAAGCAGCAAAGGTTTGCTAGAGGGGTAAGTCCATTATCCATCGAGTTTTGACCCATGTCGGTTGGCACTTGGGGATTTCTTGTTTTTTTGTAAAAGAAATTTGTAGATAACAACTTGCATCAGATTATCAGATGTAGTGTTTCTCTTATACAACATCCCAAATAGCTTAATTGTTTGTATGCTAGTTTGAAGCAGATAATTTAACACATTCAGTACTTATTTGGTTTTTGTAACAACTTTGGACATTACAATATAATATAAGTTTCAGCTTTGTTTCGTCAGCAAACTGGGTACAAATTGGATTAGTATTTTTTTTGTGAGAGTTCGATTTTCGATCTTGTAATCTCCTCCCTGTTTCACTTCCTATCCACATTTTTTGATATATGAAACTTAAGGTATTTATTCTTGATGCAATTATCGAACACGCGTGATAGCGACCTACATGGTCTAATTTGTGATTGTAACATTGCAATTACAAAACAAGAACATGTTATCGAGCTTACCCAACACAAATTCAAATTAGTTATTTTTTCTAAACTTAAAAATTTAGGAATATGCGAGGAGAAAGATAGAAATTCAGATTGTGAATTAATAATAGGAAATTCATATTTATTTATATATATGAAAAAGTCCGATCAACACATATGTATTAGATAATTTAATTCATATTCGATTAAAAAATGGATCAGTAATACACGACTCCGTGACTTTTTATATAGCTCCAGCTAGTTAACCAGCATTTTAATGCTAGAAAATAAAGTTGATGGCATTTTTGGTTCAAATAAATGGAAATGATAGTAGTATTTTTTAGCCAAATTCAATAGATTAACTGTTTTCAAGTAAAAAAAAATCTTTTTCCATTTTAGAAAAATCACGTGGTTACCATGTGCTCACACTAATTCCACAACATCTCTGAGTGGTTAAAAATTTTATTTCAAAAATACAAGTTTTCTGGGATTTTAGTATATAATCTGCCAAAAAAGAAAAAAATCTGAATCTTGGGTTTACTGAAAAATGATGAAGAAACATGGGTTTGTACTTTTATTACTCAATTTTGTTTATGTTTATCTCCTTTTCTTGTTCTCAACTTGTGTCAAAATCAGAAGCCAATGATAAGGAGTGGAAATGTGAATAATCTTCCTATGGATATATATTTTATAAGTGTTACAGGGGGTATTAGGACTATTGAAGAACACACCCTTCTTCTCAAACAGGTCAGTTTTTCAACCAATCTTGAAAAAAAAAGTTTTATTTTTGGTTATTTGTGTAAGGAATGATTTTTATTTGAATGTTCCCTGTTGGGGCATGGAATCTTGAACTGTATTTTGGTTTGGTGAAGATTGGTAGTGTTAGTTTAGTCTGTAGTAGAAGAATGTCAACAATCAATTTTGAAAAAAAGAATGTTTTCTTTGGTTATTTGTAAAGGAATGATTTTTATTTGAGTGTTCCTAGTTGGGGCATGGAATCTTGAAATGCATTTTGGTTTGGTGAAGATTGTCAGTGTTAGTTCAGTCTGTAGTTGAAGAATGTACACTTAACAATCAATTTTGAAAAAAAATAATCTATTGTTATTTGTGTAAAGGAATGTTTTTTATTTGAATCTATGTTGTTGGGATATGTGTTATGAGCTGAATTTTGGTTTGGTGAAGATTGTAAGTTAGTTCAGTCTATAGTAGAAGAATTAAGCAACTTTGGATTTCTATTTGGCATTAGTTGGTTGGATTTGCTACACTTGTCTTTCGGAAATAGTCTCTCTTTCTCCATGAGGTAGTGAGGTCTGCGTAGACTCTACCCTCCCCAGACCCGACTTGTGGAATTCCACTTGGTATGTTGTTGTTGTTAGCATTAGTTGGTTGAGGAAAAGCAATCAGTTTCAGTATATAGTTTGGAGGTGTACTCATCCAAGATTGAATAAGATTCGAAAATGATTAAAACATTTGGTAGAAGGTGCAAGTAGCACATGTTGATAAAATGAGAGAAAGTCGCTTGAAATGGTTTAGCCATGTTATGCATCTACCTCCTATGTGTGGGTCAGTAGGTGTGAAATTATGGCGAGTGAAGGTGTTAAAAAGGGACGAGTTAGAGATAAGTCACAATGGAAGAAAAAGATCTATAAAGCAATACCAAATAACTGGAAATATGTTTTGGGCATGTTAGTACTTTTCCTTTAGCTCCCATGTTTTTAGGAGCCTTTCCAAATCCTTGTATTGTTCTGGTAATTGGTTTTGTAAAAACTTGAAATTTAATAAGTTCATGTTCTTCTGACAAAGACGTCCTTCATTTCTTTTGTTCTGATGTTCAAATGAAATTGTTACCCGTGATGAAATTCATCTCCTTTGTATCATGTTCATTTTTGGCTGATTCAGTTTTGGTGGAATCTGATATTGAATTAAGGTGGAGAAGGTAGCAAAAAAGTTCAATGCAAGATTCGTTATCAACATAAGCGAACTTGGGGAAGATGATCCTCTTATGCAAAATGTAAGCCCTCCAATGACTTGTATAAGTGCATAATTCAGTGGTTATATGAATTTGAGTACAATGATGCTAGTGTAGGATGTAACACGTAGATACTTAATGAATTGGGTTCAAATTAGATAATTTACTAAGTTTTCTTGGTCACCTACTTACCTACCAATGTTTGGTTTTGATTCATATTTTCAAGATACCTGAAGTTCTAAAGACATCTCGTTTTTTGTGTTCTACTGTAGCACGTTAACTTGTCAACTTCTCTTCTTGTGCAAAAGATGTTTGGCTTGAGAACTTGCTACTCTTTCAAGTGGCAAACTCCATGTAGTATTTACTACAAAAACATGTTCACTACTTTCTCTGATTAAAAGGAATCAATCTTAAATTTCCAATGAGGATTCGACGAAATGTTAAATCTTACATATCTTACGGTCCCTTCCTTGGCAGGCTACTTGGCATTTTCCTTCCGCAAAGATCCCATGGTATGCTCCTCTATGAATAAGCAGTTTGTTCCTCTTGGACTAACTTTTTTACTTTTAGATCTCGGTTTCATCATTTGAAATGAGTTGTCTTTGCGGTCTCCCTTCAGCCATCCTCAACTTGTAGGTACTCTACTCGAGCTCTCAAAGGACAAGGGGTGAATCACTACCTTAAACAATTCAAATTTGCCCATGGAAGCTTAGATATTATAGTTGTGGATACAGGATTATATGAGGTAAATGTTTCTTTCTTTTATCTGATTAAATTGGCCTTCTACGCACGTTATCAAGATGTTGTCACTTCAGCTTTCTGCTCACTTGATTATCGCGTATCGTCTTTGTAAGATAGGATTCTGTTTTCAGACTTTCCACCAGCTGATTACATATCGTGCTTTGTTTCTTTCTTTTGATATTGTAAGTTGGTTTGTGAAAAAAAAAAAATGGATCTTCCTGAAAACAGTTCTTATCATTCTGTGTATATTTGACAAAGACTTACGATTATATAAATGAGTTTCGATTATAGATGTAATTCTCCCATATCATCCTTAATCTCAACCGGTCCTAGAGAAACAGTCCCCTTCTTTTTCCTTCTTCCCAGATAGGGATATCATTCTCATTCTTATTTACAAATTTCAAAATTTACTTTTTGCTTTTGCTGTAGATCACTTTCGACGTTTAACTTTGTTCTTCTTGTTTCTAGGTTGCTTCAAATGGTGCTGGAGATAGGCAGTCACAATGGCTGATAGACACACTTGAAAACAGTGAAAGCAAATGGTACCTTCAGATTGCAATCTTTTACTCCAAAGAGAAAATATGTGACAAAAGTGATATCGTGTGACTAAAGTGATAAGTGTAAATGCAGGTGCATTGCTATCGGACTTCATCCATTGGTAGCTTACGAAGAAGATACTCCTCAAACGAAACTAAAACACGAATTCCAGTCTTTATATGGCGTATTTCTGAAGTACGGAGTGGTAAAGTCAAAATCTTAATGCTACATCTCCATTTCTTCAGCAACTTTTGAGAGCAAGGGACCCGAGGAATTCCTTAACACCAGATACCATTTTTATCTGCAAAACCAGCTTTCTATAACAAAAATTTGATAACTTATAGCCCCCAAGGCATTGGTGTAGTGGTAGAGTGCAACACGTGCATGGGTTAGGCACACGTCACGGGTTCAAATGTTGTTGTAGACAAAGAACTTGATACATAAGTGGAAAAGGATAGCGGATAGGACCATTATCCACCAAGTTTCAAACCGTGTGCTGTTGATCCTAGAGAATTTTCTCGAGTATGAAAATGAAGATTTTTTACTGACATATGTTGTTTTTGTTTTGCTTTTTCTTGTTTAGGATGCATATATAAGTGCCCCAGCTTGTGCTGACAATGTTGAGGAAAGACATATTGCAAAATCCAAGACTAGTATTGCCAGATATAAAGGACCTTTGCTGACTAAAGTGAATCGGAACTTGCCTTACTCTATGTGAGTAGTTTTCTTGAACATCAGTAGACTTTTGAGATTACGTTGATCGGAACCTCCAAAAATGCTGCCCCACCCATGTTGGATCCTCCAAAAACGTATTACTGTTAGAGGATCCAACACATACCCGACAACATTTTTGAAGGATCCGAACAACGTAGGACTCAAGTGAACACTATACCACTATCATTTTTCAATATTTTTTTTCTTAGGGAAAAAGTAAATGGATTCCTACTTCACAAAGTCAGCGCTCTAGAGATTGTGAGTTTTATTAAATCTTGTTTAAAATTATTATACACAAGCCTCTTATATTATGTTCTTGATGTTTTAACAATTATTATTTCTAACAGGTTTCCTATTTAGTCACCTTGGAAGGTGATGTTGTGCAGAAATTTTTTCTCCATCAAAGAGGCAAAGATGTTATGTAGATATTCCTAAAGCTCCAAACACTATTTAGGGGTAGCCATTTTCTTCCGATCGCCTTTTTTTTTCTAGTTATCGCCGTGGAAAAGAATGAAAAAATCATAGATTTGATCAAATATTGGTGATGAATTGCCTTTCTCGTCTTTTTCTCTCTCTTTTTTTATTTTTGCGGAGTAAGGGAAGAAAAAGAGAATGAATTACAAGAAAAGTAGATTCAACATTCATGCTCAAGTTTACATTAATAAATTCAACGTTCGTGCTCAAGTTGAAATTAAATCTTTTGCAAGATACTGATGTTTATTTTGAATATAACCAGATCCTTTCCAAGTTTTCTTGAGATGTTAATGCAAGTGGGATTGTTTGAGATTATAAGTTTTATGCACTGACGATAAAATTTATTTATTTATTTTTAAATATCATTAGATTACTATACAAACATTAATTGGTAACCTTAAAACTATACATTAAAGGATAATATAAGAAAATGTTAATACCATTAACTTAAATTCTTTGTACATATACTTCTCCAAATACATTAATAAATAACTTTATCGTACTTTTTAGCGTTTCACATATCTAGGTGATAAACAAGATATTATCTATTACAAGCTAAGCATTCGGAAGAAGGGTAAAGATCGAAAGTTTTCGAAATTAGTATACTAAAAGATACCAAAATAAATATGCCAATTTGTTATCGAGCGAGCAAGACAGTGTAGTCAGCCGATGACCAATTAGTCTTATTCAAAACACATTCGTTGTTGTTACTATAGATCGTATACCACACACAGTCGTTCATTTCTTCGAAAAAGGAGTAATAGTAGAGCCAGTGTGTTATCCTATGTTATCGCAAATTTTATTGTACCCTAATTAAGTTCTTCACAAAAATAGATTTGGGCAAATAATACTAAAAGAAATATTATTATTGCTATTTATTATATTTATAGTTTTATTATATATATAAATAAAAATTGAAATAAAATTTTTTCTACCACGTTTTCAAAGTACATTCAACTACACTAAATTGTGATTTTAGAAGAAAAAAAAATAGATTTTAATATTAAAAGTTAAAGAAGTTGCTGTTCATATTTTCACTAAAATATAAATCAAATTGTATCATTCTACTTATTTAGACCAAAATACCCTTCCATTTCGACACACACGAGGCTAAGCAACCGCATTAGCAAACCGTAAATAAGTATTCACACGAGGGCAAAATTAGAAACATTCTGCTTTTAAGATACTGAACTTCCATTGATGAACCAGAAGCAGAAAACTAAAGCTCAGAAAGAAGAGAAGAATATTGCAGAGAAGAGGAATTTTTCTAAGGGTGGTTTACCTTTCTCTGCAACTCTGATGAAAAAATGGAAAAATAATTCAAACAACCCTTGAAGTTATAGACTAAAATGGTCCTTAATGTACGTAGTTGAGCTAAATTCATCTCTCAACGAAGAGATAGAGAGAGAAAGAGAGAATTTTGAGGCTGTAATTTGATACTTGCAAGAGAAACTAAGAGACCCATATCTTGGCGGGGCGACTCGGAACGCAACCCGATGTTAGCAGCCATGGTGATTGTTTTTATTTCTCTTGTTTTTATCAACAGATCTGAGCTTCAATTTTACTCTTGTAGCTTTAATTGTATTGTTATTCTAAAGGGTGTGTTTGGTACAAAGAAAAATGTGATCTTTTTGTGATGAATTTCATCAGTTTAAACTAAGGGCCTGTTTGGACATGCGATATGGAATCATGAGGTTAATAGAGAGAAGGGATTTTTTTTTGTTAAGGGTGGTTGCTCCTCTCTATTGTGCCCATGATTTTCTTTCATAGCAATTAAAGCAACAGCCCTTGTTAATGAAATACTCAAACCAACAATAGTTCAGTGTGTATGTCTGTGTTGCTTTTTCGCCCTTTCGGTGTAATTGTGCAAAATAGGCTGTGATCATGACAATGTTTAACTTTCTGTGCTAACAAAATTGGGCATTGAAGATAGTCCGACCCCGTATCTTGGCTGGGCAAATCCCAGGATGGCCTGTAACTGAAGCTCAGTCTTTTGCATGCAACTGGTGTTTTGCAGCCATGGCGGGGTTGCCTTCTCTTTCTCCGAGCAAAAATATATTATCTGAGCCTCAAATTTCTGAAAATTGAACTGGGGAACTCATGTGCTTACATTTAAGTTTGCTCCAATTAGAATGATGTATAGTTGCACACTGGGTCATTTGCACTTTTGTCCTTATTTTGTGCCTAGTTTATATTTGTATATCATAAGATCCCACTAGTTTTGCACTTACATGAGTTCATATCATAATATCCCACAAGTGGGGCATAAGTTTGGTTGCTAAAGGGAGATATATGCAATTTCATGTTGTATACTATCACAAAGATGGGTACTTTATCTACTTCTTAGATATAAGCCCATGAAATCAGGGAGAGTTTAGCGGAAGAGACCCCACTAAGTCTGCATTTAAACCAAAAGCACTTTGCTTTTTCAGTGAATGTTGTCGATAGATAGATATATAGATAGAGAATATGATGCTATGATGATAGTCTCTTCCCTTTTTCTGTTGAGCAACTCAATAAGGCACGAGACTAAAGGGACTGTATCTTGGCGGGGCAATCCAAATGGCTATGATTTTGTGTCATGCCAACGGTGTTTGCAGCCATGTTGTCTCCTTCACTCCCTTGTCTTATCAACAGATCTGATCCTCAACCTTACTCTTAGGGTGTCTTTGGTATGATGGAAAACATTTTTCATGATGAAATCAGCACTTGGTTACCATTGTATCCCGAAAAGTTGCGAAATTTTCAGGTGACAGCCAAGAATCCTAAAAGAAGTCAACCAGAAAATGAAATGAGGTTAATAGAGAGAAGGGATTTCTTCTAAAGGTGGTTGCCCCTCTCTGTTGTGCCAATGATTTTCTGTGGTTACTAAACCAATAGCCCTTCTTCATGCAATATTCAGAAGCAGAATATGATTCATATATGATAATAATAGCACTTTCTGGGTTAACAAAATGAGGCATTGAAGACAATCCGGCCTGTACCTTGGCCTGGCAAATCCCAGGATGCCAGCAACTGAGGCTCTTTCTTTTGCATGCAACCGGTGATTTTGCGGCCATGGCGTGGCGACATTCTCTTTAAGGGATCGTTTGGTTGCTGGTTAGGAAAGGAGTTGTTCATGTTAGGAGGTTTTTCTTGAAGGGTGGTTGCCCCTATCTGCAACTCCAGTGATTTCTCATAAGAAAAGAAAATGAAAAAAAAATCAAACAACCCTTTAGATCTCAGGGAATAATTATCCACACCCTGTTGAGATTTTTGAATCAAATGGTCGTTTATGTTATGGAGTTGAACTATATTCATCTCACAAAGAAGAGATAGAGATAGAGATGGATTTTGAGGCTTCAATGATACTTGACATGAGAAATTAAGAGACCGTATCTTGGTGGGCCGACACGGAATGCAACCCGAGGTTTGCAGCCATGGCAATGTCTTCATTCTCTTGTTTTATGAACAGATTGAGCTTCAATTCTACTCTTGTAGCTTGTTTGGATGGTTACCTGTTGTGTTGCATTGTTATTCTAAAAGGGTGTGTTTGGTACAAAGGAAAATGTTTTTTATGATGAATTTCATCAGTAATTGGTTTCTAATGTAGCCTCTGAAAAGAAGAAAGTCGGGAAATTTTCCTAAAGAAAGTAGCCCAGGAAGAAAAATGAGGAATAGAGTGAAGGGATTTTTGTTAAGGGTGGTTGCCCCTCTCTGTTATGCCAATGATTTTCTTTTTAACAACTATAGCAACAACCCTTGTTAATGATATACTCAGACAAACAACAGCTAGCCGTAAATCTCAGTGTGTGTGTGTGTGTTGCCTTTCCCCCTTTGAAGTAATTGTGCAAAAGAGGCTGTGATGATGACAATGTTTTACTTTCTGGGCTAACAAAATCGGGCATTGAGGACAGTCCTACCCGTATCTTGGCTTGGTGAATCCCAGGATGGCCTGCAACTGAGGCTCACTCTTTTGCATGCAACTGGTGATTTTGCAGCCATGGCGTAGTTGCCTTCTCTTTGTCCAAGCAAAACTGCAGTATCTGAGCCTCAAATTTCTGAAAATTGAACTGTGGACCTCTTGCGTTTACATTTAAGTTTGCTCCAACTAGAATGATGCCGCGGGGTGCTTGTGGGAGGGGGGTGTGCCACGTCGAAACAAGGGAATGAAAGGCCGCTTTGCATTTGTACAGCTGTACACTGAGTCATTTGCACTTTTCCCTTATATTGTGCTGGTCTTTAATTTATGCCCCTCATAGCCAAAAAAATTTTTGGCAGGGCAAGTTTATATTTTCTTGTCATTTTTTTTTTTTGAGAAGGTAACAGTCTTGTATTATATTCCAAAAAAACCAAACCTGCCACAACTTGTTACAGGTTTACTAATTACAAATAAAAGGAGAGTATCAGGAAGATCTTCAATCCTAAATAAACAAAAATTACAAGGTGCCTAAAGCATTCATTTTCTTGTCATTTTATCCCACAAGTTTTGCTAACATGACTTCAGTTTAAAAGAACTTCGTAGTTCTGCCTCACTAGGCATAAGTTCAGTTGCTAAAGGGCAAATCGTGCAATTTTATGTTGCACACTATCACTAAAAGATGGATACTGTATTTGCTTCTTAGATATAAGCCCATGATATCAGGGAGAACCATGAAGGTCCTTCAGATATAAAGGGAATAGGTGGTTGACTGGTTGTGTGTGGTTATGAAACTTCTCTATTTACTAGAAACAATATTTTTAGGAATTTAAAGTTTCAAGGTATTACAAGTCCGTGGTTCCATGCATTAGGGTTCCAATTTTAGTGTAGGTCAAATCTAATTGATTTTTTTTTGTTTTGTTCTTGCAGCAGCTGACCATCTCAGACAAGTAAGGCTTTTGGTAAATTATTGTTAGGCTATTCTTTGATTTGATTATAATTATTGTTATTATTAATTTTTTCTTGGGCCGAGCTAAGTTGCTTGGACTCTGGTGCGGGTGTTCAATACGGGTGTGGATGTCCAA